CGTAGGCTGGTGACGCCCAGGAGCCCCGGCCCACCTGGGGACGGTGGCTGGGCCCGACGGTGACGATTCGCCCCTCCCACACAGGCCCCTTCTGCCCACGCAGGGCACTGCCCCCGCCCCCCCCCCACAGGCAGGCCTTTGGGTCTGAGGACGTTGGTCCGCCCCTCCCCATCCCCGCCCCCGCCCCCGCTCCGCCCCCGCCCCGCTTCCCCCCACAGGCAGGGCTCTGGGTCTGACGACGCTGACTAGCTCCCACGGGCCCCATCCCGATCCCGATCCCTCCTACTGCGCCGCTCTCTCAGGCAGCAGCTTGGCAGGTGAGAAGCAGAAGCAGACGAGCTCCTACCAGCCCGGGCCCCCTGTTCCTCCTCCTCCTCCTCCTCCTTCTCCTCTTCCTCCTCCTCCTCGTCCTCCTCCTCCTCCTTCTCTTCCTTCTCCTCCTCTTCCTCTTCCTCTTCCATCCTCCTCCTCCTCCTGCTCCTCCTCCTCCTCCTTCTTCTCTCCATGTCCAAACCCAGCGTTTTCTATCGATTTCAGCCTCCTCCTCCTCCTCCTTCTTCTCCTCTTCCTCCGCCTCCGCCGCCGCCGCCTCCTCCTTCTCTCTCCTCCTCCTCCTCCTCCTCCTTCTCCTTCTCCTCCTCCTTCTCTTCCTCCACCTCCTCCTCCTGCTCTTGAGCACGTGGCAGGTTAGTGGTGGAAGTGGACGTGTGAGGGATCATGGATATGCACCTGGCGGCCCGTGTGAGGGTGCTCCCATCTGCAGGCCCATTGTGCTCTTGGAGATGTTCGCCGGCGCGTGCCCCGTTGCCGCTGCGTTGGAGTGCATGGTCGTCAACGTCTCGGACATGTACGTCTGGGAATCGTAACGTTGGGCAGTGCAATTACCCTAATTTGCATTACATGTGCCAGGAGGCGCAGCTCACACCGGATTCGGTGTTGCAGGTGATGCAGGCCCGTTTTAGGTTGCATGTTCCTGTTGGCGGCGGGCGCTCGGGCGCTCGGCGGCAGGCTATTCGAAGTACTCCACGCAGTCTTTGCTGCCGCTCCCGAGAAACATCGCCATCATCGTTTCCTCCTCTTGGTGGAAAGCGGGGCCCTCAACATGATGGGTCTGGCCGCGGCTCGGGCCGGGGGGTGACGCCGGGGGCGGGCGGGGAATTGGGGGCGGCCGGGGGGGGGGGCGAGGGAGGGGGGGAGGCAAACGAGGAACACGTCATGGACATGAAGGAGGAGAAAGAGGATTTTGTTTTGCAGCCAGGTTGGGCGTTCGCGCCTGGCGGAGGAGAAGCTGAAAGCGGCCGCCGTGTTATCCGCGCGTGCTTCCCGGGAGGCAGTCGAAATTTTCTTGTTATAAAGTGGGAGCGTCTACTGGGGTTCTCAGAATTTCGCGACGCCTCTGCTAGCCATTGCCGCGGACCCCGAGGAGGGCGAACGTCTGCGTGTTCATCTTCTCCGCCAGTCTTCGCGCGTATCAGATGTGCGGTATTGGTTGGCTCCTTCGCAGATGCTCCAGACCGCGCTGCCACGCGTCCTTGATGCAGTTGCTACACTGTGTTGGCTCACGTCGACGCGCCCCCCGGCACAGTGGAGCAAAACAAGGGCATATTGCAGGCGCTGGAGCTGAAACTGGAGCGCATGGCCGAGGATTGTCCTTACGTACAAGACCGAAAGATGAGGGGCCTGCCTGTCAGCGCGGTGGGCCCTGATCTGGTTGAGTTGCACGCCTTCAATGCCGTATCTGTGGTTGGGAACATCCAGACCAAGGCAATGGGATTTGCTGTATCTCGCTCCAAGCTGGTCCAGTACGGCCTTCCTCCAGAGGCCCACATGCTGTGCGGCATGACTGTTCCCAACCCTCCTGGGGGCGACGTTTATTTTTTCAGACGATTTGGAATTTGCCTGCCGGATACAAGAATATTGAGATGAAGGTTTCTCTGCGTGGCTAAAACGTCAACTTCGTATCTTCAAGACGCATTGTGCAGATCTGGGAGAGTTGCGGGATTCTTTCGCGAGCCTCCGCACTACTGCTGACGCTCACACAACCCCGTATATTTGGCCAGATGTGTTGGATGCACCTACACGGTCTATCGCCTGGCCAGACGTGGGGTTGGGTTGGTTTGGCACCGTCGGCGTGGGGATCGTCGGCGACATTCCTGAAGCTGGGGTGTTCAGAGGTCTCAAGCAACCTCGCATTCCCCCCGAGGGCGCTGGGGAAGAGGCGCCCCGCACCTTCAGGGACACATGTGCGGAGTACGTCGACAAGCTGGTGTCGGTTGCCTAAGCCCACGCCAGGGCAAGCCCGTGCTGTCTGGGACACAGGCGAACAGGAGCAGGAGCTGGGTTTCCTTACTCGATGGCAAGCCCGACAACAAATGGACGCTAAGTTTGGCCGTTGTGGATGGAGGCCGCTCGTCCGATTCGCCGTCTAGGAACCAAACAGAGGGTCTTGGAGGGTCATCTACACCGGCCGCAGCGCGGGCCACAACGATGCCCATGTCTTTCGGGAGCGTATCCACACCACCTGCACTGCAGTGGGCTATGCTATCGCCCGCCGCTTGGCAGCCGCATTTCCTGGTTGCCAGCTCCGCAGGAGCACCCGGGGGGCTATGAAAAAAAGGCATTTCGACAAATCCCGGTCGCGGAGTGTCACGCACGGTATCACATCGTCGCTGCTTGGTCGAAATATCAGGGCACCTGGTTTTTCCTGAACTGGAGGGCCTGGCATTTTGAATCGGCGCGGCGGTGAACCATTTCAACCGCGTCCCTCTGCAGTTTTGCGCGGCGGCTCGACGATGTCTGGCCATTCCAGTGATCAACTACCTTGACGACGTTAAGGTTACCTACCGACGTCGAAGGGCCTTCGGGATCCTCCTTCCGTTGTCTGGGCTCGCTCGTGGGCTACATGGGGTGGGTCTTCGACAAACGGAAGGATTCCTATCCGTCCCTGGACGGGCCGTTTCTGGGATGGAAAGAAGATTACACACACAAATCCCTTCCTCTGGCGTTATCGCAATATCCCCAACATCCGTCTTTCTGTCTGGTGTTGTCGACCTCGTGAGCTCCATCCTGGCCAAAGGCTTCCTCTGTGCCTCTGAGGCGCGTACGGTCCGCGGCAAGATGCTGCGCCTGGCAGATGCTTACGAAGGTCGCGTTGGCAGAGGGCAGATGTCAATTTTTGAGGAGGCCATCCAGGGGCGCGCTGACTGGGGCCGGGTGAAGGCAGCCTTGGAATTTTATTTGACGCTCGCCCAGATGCGGCGTTGGCGAGTCATTGATTTGTTTCCAGGGGGGAGGCCGCGTTTCACGGTGTACACAGATTCGTATTGCGAGGGTCGCCCGCATGCTGTGCGCCCTCATATTGGCTTGTGCTATATCGTCTTGGATGCCCAAAGAGGGGACAAGTGGGGAGGCGTTGCTGCCTTGTCCGATGAGGTCTTGGACCGTTTCGGCCTCCGCGAACAGTACGTTGCCCTGGGGGAAGCGTTCGTCCCACTTTTGTGCTTCCATTACGAAATCGCATTATTGGCGGGGGTTTCCGTCATAGTCTTCGTGGACAAATTGCCGCTGTTGTCGGCGGCGTGCAAGGGCTCCAGCAACGTCGTGGACTTCGGGGGCTCGTGCACGCCATCCACCTGCTCACGGCGTCGTTCCGGCTGCTGGCGTGGTGGGAACACGTGGAAAGCGCCGCGAATATTGCGGACGGCGGGAGCCGCTGTGGCACTGCTGACCCGGTGGCCAGGAGGCTTGGCATCCGTTTCAAGACCGTGGAGTTACCGCCGTGGCCGGCCGATATGCGCCAGGTCCTGGTAAATACTCTGCTGGGGTATCTGGATTCGGGGTTCGATGGATAAAGCGTGAGATGCTTAGAGTAGGTTCGATTGGGTTTGGTTGCCCTTCGGCCCATGCAGGAGAGGGAATGTGGCCTCTCTCGTTCATGCTGGTCTCGGCGCCAGGATACCACCACAAGGTACCCAAAAGGGGCCTCATTCCATCTCCCTCTCTTTGTTCTTCTACCATTCCTCTGAGGACCCTGGGGGGGGGGCATGTATATGATCTGTAACAAGTGGCAGTTTAGTGGTGGAAATGGACGTGTGAGGGGTCATGGGTATGCACCTCCCCCCCTCTTGTCCTCCTCTCAAGGGCTGCAGGGATACCATTTTGTCTTCCCCACACCACCCACCCTGGGGGGATGGACTTCCTGGTATGATGGCCTCTCGTGTCCTCTTGGCGCAGGGGCCCCGGTCCAGGAGGCGCCCGGGGGGGAAGTTCCCCTGGGGATGCCGGTCGTGAGTGCGCCTCCGCTGCTGGGGGGGGGGGGGGGGGCCTTCCGGCCAGGCGCGGGGCGGGGGCTTCGGCGTCCCCGTCGGCTGGGGGGGTTTGGTTGCCCTTCGGCCCATGCAGGAGAAAGGAAATGTGGCCTCTGTCGTGCATGCTGGTCTCGGCGCCAGGATACCACCACAAGGTAATCAAAAGGGGCCACATTCCATCTCCCTCTCTTTGTTCTTATATCATTCCTCTGAGGACCCTGGGGTGGGGGGCGTGTGTATGATCTTCCTCCTCCTCCTCCTCCGCCTCCTCTTCCTCCTCGTCCTCCTCCTCCTCCTCCTCCTCCTCCTCCTCCTCCTCCTCCTCCCGCCTAGTCCCGCCTCCCCCTTCTCCCCTCCTTCTCCCATCTCCCCCTCCTCCTCCTCCCCTCCTCCCTCCTCCTCCTCCCTCCTCCCTCCTCCTCCTCCTCTCCTCCTCCCCTCCTCCTCCCTTCCTCCCATCCTCCTCTCCGAATCCTCCTCCCTCCTCCTTCCTCCGCCTCCTCTCCTCCTCCTCTCCTCCCCCCTCCTCCCTCCTCCTTCCTCCTCCTCCTCTCCTCCCCCTCTCCTTCTCCTCCTCCTTTTCTTCTTCTCCTCCTCCTCCTCCTCCTCCTCCTTCTCCCTCCTCTCTCCTCCTCCTCCTCCTCCTCCTCCTTCTCCCCCCCCTCCTCCCCTTCCTTGCCCCGCCGCCGCCCCAGCGCCACCCCCGCGCGCGCGACGCTGCGGGGGACAGCGCCGCCGATGTCCCGCGGGCCGCCCGTCGCGGCGCCGGGCGGCGGCGCTGGGCACAGAGCCAGAGGCGGCGATCCCTCCTCCTCCTCCGCCTCCTCTTCCGTGCCTTCTCCCTATAACTAATTTCTCCCTGTCGCACCCTGACGCCAGTTTTTAGGGTGGGCCGGGCGTTTCGCCTGAGACTTCCTGATCATTTATGATTCTGAAGCTTATGGCAACAGTTTCACAGATGGAGGGCGGGTCCTTTTCAAAATGTGGCTCTCGCCTTAGCGCCGCGCGCACTCGTTTCAAACATTGTAAGAGCTTCACGGATTGAGGGTGGGTCGTTTTCAACATGTGGCTCTCGCTTTAGCGCCGCGCACATTCGTTTCAAACAATGGCAAGAGTTTCGCCGATTGAAGGCGGTTCCTTTTCAAATTGTGGCTCTCGCCTTAACGCCGCGCGCATTCGTTAAAAAGATGTCCAGGAGCTTCACGGATTGAGGGCGATCAATTTTTTCAAAATGTGGTTCTCACTTTATTGCCGCGCGCATTCGTTTTTAAACTAGCAAGAGTTTCGCGTATTGACGGCGGTTCGTTTTCAAAATGTGGTTATCGCTTTGGCGCCGTGCACATTGGTTTTTAAATATGCAAGATCTTCATGGATTGAGGGCGGCTCCTTTTCAAAATGTGGCTCTCGCTTTAGCGCCGCGCACATGCGTTTTTTTCACCATTCTAGGAGTTTCACGGATTCCCATCAGCAGCATGCCAGAAATTTGGTGTTGGAAGGATTCAGGATTAAGCGGGTGCAACAGTTACGTTGGTTCTCTGTGTTGAAGTCCTAGGAATGGCGTTCTGGCACGGTTCAACATCGCCAACACGCATCAGTCAGGTTGATCCGTGGCGTTGAAATCCCGAGAACAATGATTTGGCATGCTTCAAGGTCGTCAGACGGGTGTCTTTCGACGAAGCAGTGCCATCAATGGAAATGGACCGTTGTAGGGGCCTATGAAGAGGGAGCTTGGAGGGAGGGCTTGCTTCAACATCGTTGGTGATTCTTGGGTTTACACTGGTCCTCCTCCTCCTCCTCCTCTTCCTCCTCCTCTTCCTTCTGCTCCTCCTTCTTCTTCTTCTGCTCTTCCTTCTCCTCCTGCTCCTGCTCTTCCTCCTCCTCCTCCTCCTCCTGCTTCTCCTCCTCCTGCCGCCGCCGTCGTCGTCGTCGATCATCGTCGATGGTCGTCCTCGTCGTCCTTGTCGTCCTCGTCGTCGGTGTCCTCCTCCTCCTCCTCCTCCTCGTCCTCCCCTCTTCCTCCTCCTCCTTGTCCTCCTCCTCCTCCTCCTCCTCCTCCTCCTCCTCCTCCTCCTCCTCCGGCGAGCGCGTCTGTCCGCACGCCCGAGCACTTTGATCGGGAGCGGGCGCAACCCCCCAACCCCGGAATCAGCGCACCGCTCAGCGGTGACCCGTCCTGGAGCCGAGGGGGTGCGCCCGCCGGGACCTATGAATTCCGATGCACGGGACCGCCGCACCGCCGGGCGCCTTCCAGTCTCCAGCGCGCCGCCTCGGCGCAGACGCCGTCCGCGGCCCCGCCCGGCGGGCGCCTGGCCCCGTGGCGCTCGCCTACTCGGCAGCGCCGGGCCGCCAGCTACGCCGCCCGCGGCCGCGGTGCGGCGCCAGCCTGCGCCCTCGCCAGCCCCGCGCCCGGGGCCCGCCCTCGACAGCGGCGGCGCCCCGCCCCCTCCCTGCCCCAGCGGCCCAGCGCGGCGCCCGCCCGCGGCCCTGCCCCAGTGGCTAGCGCTTGGCGGCGGCGCGCGCGCAGCGTTAGCCTGGGGCTGCGCCTGGCTGCGGCGCTCCAGGCCCTCCGGGCGGCGGCGCGGCGGCCCCGTGCTGCGCCGGCGCGATCGCGGCAGCGGATCGCCACGGCCGCGCCTGCGTGGCCGAGAGGACCGCGTCCGCGGCGTGCCGATGAAGCACGTTCGTTCCCCAGGCTTTGGTAGAGCTGCCAGATGTCAGCGGAATGCGCCGCGCTCCACGCGGGTGCGAGCTGCCGCGCGAGGGCGGCCGTTTCCTCGCCGAATCTCCTGCGGTCTTCAACGACGAACGGGATCACCGGCACGCCGGGGTAGCGAGCTCGCTTCTGGCGCTCTGCGGTGGCGGCAGCCGCTCCGTTCCGCCTCGCGGTCCCATTCGCCAGGGGGTCCTACGAGATGGCGCTCACGACCGTGAGATCGATCAGGAGTGTCGCCGGGACGCCTGGCGCATGGACAACCAGATCCATCCGCGCCTCGGGGCTCTGCGGCGAGGCGTGGGGCAGCACGGCCTCGCGGTGCACGTTGCAGCCCTGTTCTTCGCGCCATTCTGCCAGCGCCGCGCAGCCCGCGTCGTGCCGGCGCACGAGCCACCCGCCGATTGGGCAGCTCCGAGCGTGGCGGCCCTTCGGGTCCAGCGGCGCGCCGCAGACGCTGCCGCCCGGGCGCTGGTGCTGGCAGAGCCCAGTGCAGAACGGCAGGTCGAGGTTCAGCCGGACCCCCGCTGCGATGCCGAACTGCGCATCGGTGATGCAGTGGCAAGCTCGCGTGGGCGCCTGCAGCCAGCCGCTCGCCCCAGTGCCGCCAGCCGGGCGCAAGGCCGCAGCCGCGCCTGGGCCCTCGCCCGCCGCCAAGCCGGCGACCAGGCGGGCAGCCGCAGCAAGTGGGGCCGAAGCCAGGGAGTGCTGCGTTGCTGCCAGGGCCTCGTCGCCCACCTGGGCGGTCGCGTCTCCCAGCGCTGTCTGTAGTGTGGCGGTGGCTGCCGGGAGGTAGCGGCGCAGCGCTCGCGTCCGTGATCTCGAGGCCCAACTGGCGCAGGCAGTGCGGCAAGCAGAGGTGCCAGGAGGCGGCGTGCGCCGCCGGCGCCGTCAGCTCGGCGCTCTGTAGCCCCAAGCCTCCGTCTCGTCCGCTCAGGAAGAGCTGCTTGCTGGCGTGCCCGCCCAGCTGCTGCCCGCGCGGCAGGGCGTGCTGCGCCTCCGCGGCCAGCGCCGCGTCCAGCGCCCTAGACTAGCGTCGGCCGCAGGGAAACCGCGCGTGCGGGCCAGGAACGTGAAGTCCGAGGCCTTCTTGTGCCGCAGCAGCACCGTCGCAGTCTGTCCGTCCAGGCCGGCGGCCTGCAGCTGGCGGAGCCGCAGGAAGAAGCGGGCGCGGTTCTGTGCCACGGCCGCCACCTCGGGGCCGCCCTTCGGAGAGCAGGCTGCCTTCGGCCGGGGCGGCCGCGGGGGCAGCGTGCACGCCCGCCGCGGAGGGCCCTCCGTGCCGGAGCACCAGCGCCCGAGGCTCCACCTCCTGCCTGCCAGGGAGCGCATCCACGTCCACCTCCCGCCCCGGGCTGAGCTTGGTCTTCACCGGGTTGCCGCGCAACCCCGCCGCAGCACAGGCCCGCGCAAACGCCTCGGCGGGCTGCGCGGCGGCGGTGGCGCAGATCACGTCCAGGTCATCCTGGTAGCAGTAGCACGGGCCTGGTTTCGCCTCCACGCGCGCCGCCCTCTCGACTTCCTCGGCCACCCTCTTGCAGCAGAGCGGGAAGACCTGGTTCGTGAGTGCGTCTCCCTGGTCTCCACCGCACTCCTTGGGTAGGCGGGTTCTCGTGCCGTCTCTGGCCACGTGCACGTGCGCTGTGTCTGCGCAGATGCTAATGCGGACCCGGGGGAGCATGTCAGGGACCAGCTCGCGGACCGCTCTCGCAGCCGATTCTCGGCTGAACTCGTTGTGGGCGTTAGTTACGGTTAGGCTAAGCCTGCAACAGCCCGGCCGGCTGTCGAGGTCCAGGAAGGCAGCCTTGTGCATGCGCTCGGCCCCGCGTGCGTCCCCAACAGAGTGCTCTGTCATTCTGAGTGCTGCCGCTACTCTGCTGCGGAACACGCGGCTCGCAGCTTTGGAGGCGCCCTCCTGTGGAAGTTGCCCAACGCCAGGGGCCGTAGCTTGTTCGGCTCCTCCCGGTCGCCAGCCAGGATCCGCGCGGACAGCCACGGCTTGTGCGCTTCTTCCGCGGCTCGCCACAGCTGCAGGTGGAGGAACACTTGCGCGCAGCTCTCCCACGCTGCGGTGTGCCGAGGCATCCGTGACCAGTGTTCGCCTCGGGCGCCGCCGGGGCCAGCGCCATTGTTCCGAGGAATGCGGAGGCACGCCTTGCCCAACTCGTACCGGAAGCGGTCGGTGTCCTCATCCCGGGCATGCCCACTGGGAGCGCTGGTTGCGAGGCGGCCTGTGGGAACAAAACCGGGAGGCAGCGCCTGGCTTTCGCGTCCGGCGCCAGGGGGATCCTGCCGTCCACCACCCGCAACGCCTCCCGAACGTCCTCCTGAGCGAGCGCCTCGGCCACGCTCGCCACGTCCATGGCCAGCTGCTGCGCCTCCGTCCTGGCAGGCCCGCACGACCCGAGGCCTTGGACTCCAGCCAGAGGACGCTCCAAGCCCCTTCCCACGCCAGCCTGACGCGCCGGGCCAGAGTCCGCGCCAGCGTCTCTCCTTGCTGACCTCTTCTCCCGCCCCTCCGCCGCCTCGACGACGACGCGAAGAGGCGCCGGTCCATGAACAGGAACACTTTCAGGTGCCGCGCCTCCTCCGGCGCTCCTCCAGCGCCGAGCGCGGCGTCGGCCAGGGCCTTCCGGAGGTCCGCGATGGCGTACTGGACGGCCGACGGTACCACACGCACCGTGGAGACTGGGTCGCGCAGGGAGTCCCAAGAAACCGTGTCCCAGAATTCCATGCGCAAGAGCTCCGTACTGCACCTGCGCGGCGTCCGCGGCGGCAGCACGGACAGCTCCCCCTCCCAGCCCGTTGGCATGTCCCGCTCATCCGGCTCCAGCTCCAGCTCCTTCCTCTCCGTCTCCTGGTCCCCAGCCGCGTACGCGGTCTGCGCCTCGGCCTGCTTGTCCGGAGTGACGGCGCGCCACCCCGCCAGTTGCTGAGGTGGCCCACACCATGGCGCCACGCACCCGATGTGATGCACCCGCGCGCCTGCCCCCCCGCGCCGCACCCGGGGCACCCTTGCGGGTATCTCCCCCAGGCACGTGGCGCACAGTGCGAGGCTCCTCGAAGTGGGGGCCGAGACGACCAGC